ACCCGGAGAGATCGGTAAACGCAGCTCATCCCGGCGGCCGCGAAAATGGTCAGATTCCTTCTGGACCTGCTCCTGCTTCTGCCCTTACTGGTCGTTTTCATCTTAGAATCTCTCTTGAAGCTTTTCATTCCTAAGAAGAGAAAATCAGTCGCCGGAGAGGTCGTCCTGATCACGGGAGCGGGACACGGAATCGGGAGGCTGACTGCCTATGAATTTGCCAAACTGAAAAGCAAACTGGTTCTGTGGGATATCAATAAGGTAACAGGGCTTTCCTGCTTGACTTTCTGGGACCTTTCATCCGCGGGCGTGTTTGTATTTTGCGGGCAACAAGCTCCTCCAGCTGTAACTGTAAAGTAGGTAGAAAAATTTACTATTGCCAATTTATAGATGGGGCGGGGTGGGGGACACACACATGGATTAATTAACGTGTTTATGACCACGGGACAAACGGACCTAGAGGGTAAGATTCTCGGTTGCTGCCCATTTGACGTTGTAAATCGATCCTCACTTTTGCCCGGGGAATAATTTGTAATTTCCTCCTGAACTTGATTTCACTGATCCCTCCGTCTTAATCATATGGAAAAAGTAATAGTTTTTAGCTGGTATATTCAAAGAGTAAGAGGTTTGTACCTATTAGGAAAAAAGTCCTACTTGCAGTTACTGAGGTAAGTCGGTTTAAGATACCAAACAGAAAGCAACATTGCTATGCGGTAGTAATTTCCAAGAGTAATTTAGTTAAAAAAAAAAAATCTTCAATGTAATTTTCTCCAGAATAGGTGTAGTCTTAAGGAAGAGAAGAGGGATTAGATTCTTACCTTTAATTTGTCCAGTGGTTGATGTACAAAGAGGTTCCTGGAAGCACCTGCTGGCCTGAAATGCTACATACCCTATACATTAGTTAACATCCAGTGATGTAAACAAGAATTCATGGGATGCGAAGTTAGGTGAGTGCCAACCCGGTGAGTTGAGAGAGCAATCAACAAATACTTGCTTAGTCTCTGTTGCCTAGATATTAAGAACAGGTGGCAAACAGGAGCTAGGTTCAGATGCCCTCACTCTAGTAAAGAAAATAGACATTAAATAATTGCAATGAAAGATACAAAGTAGGCCCAGCCCAGTCTGGTGTCGTCAAGGAAGTGTCTGGTGTGGTGGTGTGGTCAGACTCATCTTAGCTCTGCATTTCTTCATGGACAACTTACCCAGTATCATGGGTGACTCCCTAGAGCTTTTGGTTCCTCTTCTGCAAAATATATAAACTGCAAAGTGTATAAAATAACACTACTTATCTTAGAGGGCTGGGAGGATTATATCAGATAATGCACACAAAGCATTTAGCACAGTATCTGGCACATGGTATGTGCCAAATAGTGCACACTTAATATGCCACCTAACGCCCTTTGATTTGGACTACAGCTGGCCTTTTACTTTATGACCCAGCATCACCAATCTGCTAGTGCTTCCCCTGATAGGAGAGAACCTTTCTCCTATCAGTCCCTTTACTTACACTGTGCCTGCCGTGCCCTGCCCCTCTCTTTGCATGGCTGGGCTGTTCTACTCTTAAGACCCAACTCAAGTACCTCGTCCAGAATTGTACTGGATGCCCTTCTCTGTGTTCCCGCAGCTCTCTCTATGTAACTCTATTCTTATACTTGCCAATAGTCAATCCTTTGCTCTAAAACAGTAACATTTAGGTGGTGGGCACATAGAGCAATATACAGATCTTGTAACAGAAACTCACACCTGAAACCTATATGTTCATATTAACCATTGTCACCCCAGTAAATTTAATAAAGTGTAAAAAAAATAAAACAATAACGATTTCATATGGTCCTACCTAAATATTATACTTATTTTATGCTTCTTTCTACTGCAGTGTGAGCTCGCTGAGGTCAGGACTCTGACTCATTCATATTTGTGTCCACAAGGTTCTTCAAAGCACCATGAATGTGACCTACACATTAAAATGTTGGAGGAATGAATGAATTGTAGTTAACTCCTTACGTATTTATTTTGCAGCCAGAAAATTGATGTCCATAAGTAGTTTTTAGTGACAGAGAAAAAAAGCTTAATGTCATATTATTAAAGCCTGATATGGAATATACACACATACATACATTCACAATGTAAAATTAATAATACAAAACCAATATTTTAAGATTTTTATCTTCTTTTTCAAAGCTTGCTTTAAATTCACTTCCAACTAAAAGAAGCTCTTCAAAGTACTGAGAGCAAGCAAAGTGTACCTATATCCCTGCCAAAAATGTGTGTCAGTTGAATTCTTGTCCAGTTCCAGTTCAAAGAATGTGACTACCCTTAATTATTTCCAGCTGTTGATATAATGCGCTCACATCATTTATTTTATTCTCCTTGCCTCTTTGTTGCTTTTCCTAGCATGGAATTGAGGAGACAGCTGCTGAATGCAAGAAACTGGGTGCAAAGGTTCATGCCTTTGTGGTAGACTGCAGTAACCGAGAAGATATTTACAGCTCGGCAAAGAAGGTGAAATTTTACATTTGGTTAGAATCATATCGTGTCAGAGCTGGGAGGGATTTTGGAGATGGCCCAGGTATGATGCAGACAAACTAACAGAAGTTTTGTGATTTACTCAAGGTTGTATAGCTGGCTCTGTATAGTGGCAGACCCAGAACTAAACCCTAGAACTGAAGTTCTCAGACTTTAGTGTGTTCTGGAATCTTCCAAGGGGCTTGTTTAAAAAAAAAAAATAGGCACCCCAGAGGTTTTCTCTCACTAGGTCGAGGGCTGGGCCCAGGAATTTGCGTGTTTAGTACACTATGCACCCACACCTCACCTGTCTGATTCTGATACAGGTAAATCCTTGGGTGGCACTGCAGAACCACTGACAGGGTCTTCTGAAGTTCAGTCCAAGAACTCAGGAAGATAGGATAAACCTAACTGTTAATCAGGCTTTGATCGTAGACATACCTATTTCTATAAACCATTATTTGACTAGTCTATATATAACTGAGATGTGCTACATATAATGGGATTTCCTCAACACATCCATAAATGTACTTGTTAACTAAATGTGGTAATGGTGGGAAGATCAGTAGAATTACCTTGGCAAATTCCTTAAAGTACACCTTCCTGGGCCTTACCCCTGGATAGTCTGATTCAGTATAGTATAAAGATTCTGATTCAGCGAAGACTTGAGAACCTCTTGAATTTTAGGAAATTTTAGATTTGGGGACATTCTTAACTTCTATTTTAAATTATAATCTTTTATTTCAAACTGATGCCTCTTATAATTGATTAGGCCTTAGCTAAGTCAAAAGAATAGGTAGAAATTACCCAGGCCAGTGGTTGGGAAATCGCCTTCTGGAAAGGGGGTACCGTAAGATCAAGGCCTTTGGGTAAGAAACATCTGCATTCTTCACAGTAACTGTTTTATTAACAATGATTCTCCTTCATAGAAATGAGTTTTCTTTTAGTTAATACTAGCTTTTCCACCTTGGGCAAATTACCCAACCTCTCTGTGCCTAACTTTCCTCAATTATAAAATGGGGATCACAGCAGTATCTACCTTATAGGATTGTTATGAGGATTAAGTGAATTAATGATGTAAAGTTCTTAGAACAATACCTGGTGCTTAGTAGTCACTTAATAAGAGTTAGTTGTTAGTATTATAATGTTGCTGGTGGGAATGGGGTTCTTGCGATGTCACGAGAAAAGCATTTTGGGGGACCCACGTGAGAGGATAAGGTCTGGCGGTAAGATTTATTTGGGTGGAAATAGAAGGCTGCCTCCAGGTTCCCAATGTCTCATCTCCATCTATTGCCCTGTGGAAAAAAATCCAGCCTTGTCTTCTTTAAGCCCAATACAAAGACCAGTGTCCAAAAATTCTGTGCTGTGCCAAAGCTTAGTCCATGGTTAGCCCATGCCTGTCCCCATGTGGCTAGCATAGCCTGTCCCCTAGCTTAGCTTAGTCTCTTCCCGGTTGCACTCCGGTTGGTGCTGCATTGCTGTACCCAGGCCTGTGCTTGGTGCCCGGGGTCCCAGATGGCTGCTAGGGCTGCATGGCTGCTATGGAGAGAAAACTCGAGAACAAACCGGGCAAGCTCGCGTTAGAGAAAAAGAGAGACAGAGACACAGGCTGATTATATTATCCCAGGCTTGGGAAGGACCAGGCACCCTTTCAAACTAACCAACTTCCCAGTCTTTCTGTGTGTGGGCGTTGGGTCCTCCCCCTAACCAGTCCCTTTCCTAGGCCTTCCAGGGCCCTGTGTCCCTTATCCAACCCGCTCCTCTTCCCAGGCTTGGCTCTGCCCCTTCTGGTTGCTGGCTTGGTTCCTGCCCTCCTGGGGTTAGGTCCCTGGAAAGGAGGGTGCCCAGGGAGTGTGTGAAGCTGTAACATCCTGGAGACACAAACAGGCTTATTGCCTGGTTCAGCTCCCTGGTTTAGTAGGCTTCATTATGTCCGATTCCTTCTACCCCCTTCCTTTATTGTCATCTGGCTACCTATGCGAACAATAATGAAATCGCCAGTATTTATATCATTTTGTTATTAGGCATTATTACACACCCGGCTGACCAGTCTCGAGTATACGGTGCTCCTGTGTCTGAGTGTTGCCGACTGGTCACGATATAACTCATGTCTGCACTTACGTTAATTTAAGTAATTTTAAACACCTTGCTGACCAGTCGTGACTGAAAAGTAACCCTCCATTCAATCGAGTTCTGGCTTGAAATAGCCGGTCAGCAAGGTGTTAAGGAAATTGAGTAGTGTTATCTAAATGGAAAACATTCATTGCCATCGTCATTTGGGAATAGGCTTTTCTGGAAAAGATAATTATTATTGACACAATTCCATGTATTTTAAACATAGTGTTTTTACTGAAAATTTTATTAGATGAACTAACTATATGCTTAAACAGAGTGTACACAATGACTTATGACTATCAGATATTTTGAAGTAGCTATTTTTTTTTTTGGTATTAGGACAATTTTATGCCACCTCAACAGTAAAACTCTCAGCTCACTTTCATTATTAAGAAATGTGCAAGTTGACATTCTCGCTCTGGTGGGAGATAGGTGACAATGGAGAGCTCAAGGATGAAGGAAGGGTCAAGAGGGTCTGGGTAAATACTTTGGCAATGTGAAACAGTAATTTATATCTTGAGTCATGTTAACTTGGAGGCATTAGAGCAGCTTCATCAGTTCAACCACATAAAATGTCCTGTTTTTCTCATAACTTAGTAGCATTATTCTGAATAACAATTTTCTGTTGTGCTAGAGATGTGGATATAGGTACAAATTGTATTGATTAAGCGCCCAGTAATTCTTAATTTGACTCTAGTAAGTTAAATACAACCTGATGAAATTCAGTTCTGGCTGAGGAACCTTCACAATGGCACACTGATGTCCTACAGGATATTGATGGGCCTCCCTCCCCTCCTGACTTCCTTTCTGTTCCAGATTTGACGCTTCACTTTAGTCTCTGAGGTCAGAAAATGTGGAAGAGTCCCAACTCCATGTGACCTTTAATAACCATGTGACCTTTGGCAAGAAAGTTAGCGATTCTGTGCTTCATATTTCTCATCATTAAAGTGAGCATACTAAGAGTTGCTACCTCATAGAATCTTTGTGAGAGTTAAATGAGATAATGAAATTCCTTAAAATGCATAGCACTTACATATGTGAAAGCTTTTTTTTACATGTTTTTTTGATTTCAAAGAGAGGAAGAGAGAGAGAGAGAATCATCAATGATGAGAGAGAATCATTGATTGGCTGCCTCCTGCACATCCCCTACTGGGGATCGAGCCCACAACCCAGACATGGCCTGACCGGGAATTGAACCATGACCTCCGAGTTCATGAGTCAGTGCTCAACCACTGAGCCACACCGGCTGGCCTGTGAAAGCTTTAAATAGGCTAGTAGACACCTCCCCCTCAGTCTCCCAACACACTGCACCACTATCTAAATAATGATAACTCTATTAATAGAGGCTAGCTTTTATTTGGAAGACAATGTATAACAAAATGCATTGTAACTCTAGGGTCCATCCACCAAGCAGCTTAGTTACTCAAAGAACCATAAAAATGTTGAATAGGATATTTTTGCATTGCTAGCTTAATAGTCTTGCAATTAAGCCTACTGCAACTCAATGGAGAAAGGTTAGGGAGCAATAGAGTGGAGTGACCATAAAAACAATAGAAGATGTAGCCAGTTTCATGGTGTGTAATCAGTTTTACATAGTTCCTCGTAATAGTCCCTGCGCTTGCCAATTAATTAAACTTTTTTTTTTTTTTTTTGCTTACCTTTTTAAAGTTGTATTTAAAAAATCTGCTTATTTGTCACTGGTTTTGTTTTTGTTAGCCACGTGCCTCCTGAACTATAATCAATAGAGCAAAGTCAAGAGACTAAATTGCAAAAGAAAATTTTTACATAACTAATTTACAGGCAGAGCTATTTTGAAATTAAGTACCTAAAATTAAAGGTTTTTTTTCCATGTTGGCACATAGATTCAAAACTACTTGTTTTCCCCACAGCTCGTTAAAAAATACATACTTCTTTAATAGTCATTGCTTGCAAACCTACCCTCGTACTTCTTAATGATGCAGGTATCTTTCTCATTTTATTTTTAAAGGTGAAGACAGAAATTGGAGATGTTAGTATTCTAATAAATAATGCTGGTGTGGTCTATACATCAGATTTGTTTGCGACACAAGACCCTCAGATTGAAAAGACTTTTGAAGTTAATGTACTTGCACATTTCTGGGTAAGTATGACTTCTTTTACAAAAACATTCCCTTCTCAAAGATTAAGTTTAAAGTGGAGCTTTCAGTAGACATAAGGACATATCAACTCAATACTAAAGTTTTCTCCTCTGCGTACCAGGGATAATACACAAAAAGATCATTTTTCATGTTTCAACTAAAGGTCATCAGTCTTTCTCCCCTCTCAAAAATATTAATAATAAATTAATAAATAATAATAAACTTCTGGGGTTATATATGTTTTAATTCTAAGCTACATTCTCATATCTCTGTGTTTAAAGATGAAGAAGGAATTAGTGATCATCCAAGTCACCTTCTGCGATTCTATAAAAGGGAAACCCAGTTTGCTTTCAGATTCTCATGAAAGCCAGGCCTCCCATTATATCCTGCCCCAAATGCAAACTTTATTATGAAACTCACCATTCAAGGTCTTAAATACACACACACACACGCACGCACGCACGCATGCACGCACGCACACGAGTTTCTGAGGAGTCTAAATATTGCCCAAATAGCTAGTCCCTAGAAGGGTCCCTGAAAGTTTTCTCGGATGTGAGTCTGGGATGAGTAATCTCCAGAGAATATTGGAGTTAGTTGGTGAAAATGTAGTATTATGTTAACATTTTCTAGTTATTGATATGTCTTTGTATTTTATGACTTATGAGTTTGCTTATCTTTCTGCCTCTGTTGGAATGTAGGGTATTGTCTGTCTTATTTGTTTCTGAATCCCCATCACCTAGTAGATGCTCAATAAATATTTATTGTGTGAATCATTCAGCAACTACTGGAAGATTGCTGTTCACTTCAATATTTTAATGACAAACACTTTTCTAACAACTTCAAGTTAAGATAGAAGACATCATTGAGAAAAGGTGGAGGATCAGTGGACATAAGTTGTTCACAATTTTTTTTTTTTAATATATCTTTATTGATTTTAGAGAGAGGAAGGGAGATGAGGAGAGAGAGAGAATGAGAAACCTCAATGATGAGAGAGTCATTGATGGGCAGCCTCCTGCACGCCCCCGACTGGGGATCGAGCCCGCAACACAGGCATGAGCCCTGACCAGGAATCGAACCATGATCTCCTGGATCCTAGGTTGATGTTCAGCTGCTGAGCCACACCCAGCCTGGCAAGTTGTTCACAATTTAAATAAGATGAATTCTTAAAATTTTCAATATCCATTGTTTACCTTAATTTTTTGAATCTAGGCATCCTATCCAGTTGCCTTATGTTGCCACATTTGGCAATCTAGGGTTTTTTTAATTTATGCCAGGAACAATATATATAGTTAACAAAATATATCTTTGTTTTAAAATATTCCCAATGGATTTGCAAATCAGAGATAAAAGTATTTTTTTTCTGTCTTATAAAAACGATTTCTAGACTACAAAGGCATTTCTTCCAGCGATGATGAAGAATAATCATGGCCATATTGTCACTGTGGCTTCAGCAGCTGGGCATACTACGGTCCCCTTTTTAATGGCTTATTGGTAAGTGAACATGTGTTTTTTCATTGGTTCCTATGCTTAGCTTTGTTGCACAAGGTCTCTTGTGCAACAGCATTATCACCCATTAATCCCCTTCTATGTTGACCACTGTAGAGGTGGCTGCAGAGAAACTATCCAATTAGAAGCCAACTGCTTTAAGCATTTCTTATCTCTTTAGCAGCAAGGAATTACAAAACAAGCAATACCATGAACAGAAGTTAATATTAATAATTTTAAGTAAAGTAATGTGGAAATAAAACTGTAAAGACAGAAAGAGTACAATCTGGAATTCTAAACATTAAAAGCATTCAAACAGTGAAATTGTTGTGAAAATAATTGTAATAGTTATCCATGTAAAAATCCACATTGTTTTAGTAATTGAAGAACTTACTACAGCAAGCAGGGCACAGTAATGGTGTGTTCCTCTGTATACTATAAAAAGTTGATCAGTGAGGCCACTGTAGCCAAGGTGATCCTACTGGTTGCACCCACCCTAACAGTTCTTGGCTGTTTCTGTATTTTAGCAAATAACTTTTAGAATGTTGAGTTATGATTGTGCAAATAAATATGCATACAAATAATGCTCAAATTTGTCTTCTACCATTGTGCTCTTTTGGAATTGATTATCTAAATTCCAGAAACAACATAGGTATAGTTGTATATGTAGCAGCTATAGATAATGCGTATAAATGTATAGACCTAGGTATGGGCAGCACACACACACACACACACACACACATCTTGCATTTAAGAAGTTTGCAAGGATATATACCAAACCATTCATCTCACCACACCTATTGAGTGGTTAGCCTTAAGTAATGGCAATAAAAATGATTTTTATTTTGTTCTTTTTGGTCGTCTATGTTTTCTTTCTTTCTTCCTTTTTGAACATTGATTTGTTTTATAATCGTTTAAAAAATAAATATAGACATGGGCTGAGTTTTTTAAAAAAGAATGAAATAACAGCTGAAGCTGTCACAGACGGAGGTGCAGCCCAGATGTCTCTCGTCTCTGTCAGAGCCAGCTTAAGTTAGGCAGCGAGCCCCTGCCGTCAAGGGCTAACACAGCTTTGCACGCGTTTACTTCCTTGATGAAAGGCGCTTGCAGACGCTGCTGCTAGGCCGCTACGTCCCACCGCCCTGCCGGGTTCTATCTCACTCCCCCGCTAAGCAAGGAGGATCAGAGACTCCAGCAGGGCCGTCAGCCTTGTTGCACTTCCCCCTTCCCTTGGCATAGGAAATATTGTAGTTCTTTTGATTCTGGTTTGATTCTGCCTCACTGAGGTTTGCAGTGCAAGTCAAGCGAGAACGGGCTTTGTGTGAGAAACAAATTTACTTTGGTGACTAGTGATGGTGCTTTCAACAGAATTAAAGCTTTTCATCGGGTATTGTCAAACAGGAGCCACATACACAGTTGTGTAGATTGTACACTACACATTCTAGGGGCACTGTTCACATTCAGGTCCTTTTAGACTTGAATGATTTTCCAGGTACATAGGCAGTAAATTAGCTTGGGAAGAGGAGTGGCCTTCTCTGATTCACAGAAAGGAACCATTTGAGCTAAAAGGCAGGGTTGCATTTGGTTTGTACATTTCCAGCTTGGGGACGGATCTGTGGTTTGCCTGCCCTTGCAAAACTCCTGTTTGTACTCTCAGCCCTCACTGGCCTGAGCTGCAGTCTGTGATCCTTACTGACCACAATTATCTTTTTTTTTTTCTCAAATATATCTTTATTGATTTCAGAGAGAGGGAGAGAGAGAGAGAAACATCAATGATGAGAGTCATTGATCGGCTGCCTCCTGCACACCCCCAACTGGGGATTGAGCCCGCAACCCGGGCATGTGCCCTGACCGGGAATCGAACCCTGATCTCCTGGATTCCAGGTCAACACTCAACCGCTGAGCCACGCCCAGCCAGGCGACCACAATTATCTTAAATTCAGTTCACACTCTGGTTTTCGCTCAGTATCTGATCAATGGCAGAACTTTCACAGAGACACACTGAAGACTTCACCCAGCAGAAGGCAATCTTATCAGCTGTTGTTATTAACAATTGCGCAATTAAACTGAGATGCTGCTTTTTAAAACATAAACTTTTTATTGAAGTATAACATTTATAAAAATGCAGAAATCATGAGTGTACAGCTCAGTGAGTTCCTGCAAAGTGGACACATCTATTTAATCACCGTGCGGGTCAAAAATAGAACTTTACAAGACCCCAGAAGCTCCTCTTGGAACTCTTCCCAGACACCAATCTCTCTTTCCTTCCCAAGGTAACTCCTATATTGACTTGTAACACCATTGATTAATTTTGCCTATTTTTGATCTTTATATACATGGAATCACACATTGTTTTTAGATTTATCCCTGTTGTTGTTCGTAGCTGCCATTCAATCATTTTCATGCCCGTATAGTATTGCATCATGTAACTAGACAATAATTTACTGTCATACCACTGCTGATGAACATTTCGGTTGTTTACAGGATATGATGACTATGAATAATAATGTTCTGAATCTTGACTCAATCACTTATTAACCTATGTGACCTTGGGCAAGTTACTCAACCTCTCTGTGCATCATTTTCCTCATCCGTAACATAATGCTAACAATAGGAACTAACTAACTCATCAGGATGCTGTAAAGTCTAAATCATATAATGAAATGCACTGAGCATAGAATCTGGAATCCTGTAAGTGTTCGACAACAGGAGGTTACCTATTGATTTTGTTCCAATTCTACTTCCCTCTCTTCACACAGAATGGTAAAGTCCCACGTCTCATTTTAGCTTTCAAAATGCTTTGCCTGGAGGGATTAATCATATATGCTCTAGCTCCTATTTGTTAGAATGAAATGAGAAAGGACCTAGCATCACCTGTTTTTCCCCCTGTAATCCAGCCCTCAGCTATCATTGTCCTGATGGACAATGCAGACATAGCAAAAGAATCGATTACAGTTCTAATCACCTATATTAGAAAATGAAAAAGTCCATTTCTTTTGAATTTATAGTTCAACAGTTTTAATGATTAATGTGAAAAATGCAAGATGAAAGAACTGAATTCATGGTGAGAGAGGTTAATCTTTTGATTCTGTTCTTTTGCTGCTTGCTAAGTATTTTACCCCAAAGTATCTTGATTTTAAAAAGAAAACAATTTGGTGCTGCAAAACTCTGGCTAATATATCTTGTCAATTCAAATAACCAATTTATAAGCATGAAAGTTAGCAGTATGGGAAGACATGGCAAAATTGGAGTCTTCATCATTAGCTTGTAATGAAATGTTATTTAAAAGAATAATTTGGAATAAGAAATATTAATTCAGATTATGAATAAGAAATTTGATATAATGTTACAAAGTACAGAAAAAATCCACTCATAGCTTTCACATATAGATATATATGTCTCAAAACAAATTCACTTTGAAGTTCAAAAATATAAAATCCTTTTAACACACTCAAGAGCATTAACTCTGAGTTTTAATATATTCTTGCATTTTTGGTTCACTTAAGAAAAATCAGAAAATACACCTTAGTAAAAGAAAATTTACTGATAATCTCTCCATGCAGAAATAACCTTGGTAAGCATTTGTTATAATTTTTTAGGACATTTTAAATGAAGATGGTCATACATTGAAAAAACCTGTCACTCTGATAAATGATGTTGGGATGCAGTAAATATTCTATGTCAGTGCACTGCTTCTTAGACTTTAATGTACCTCTGAATTTACTCAAAGATCTAGAATGAAGGTTCTGATTCAGTAGGTCTGCGCTGGGCATTGAGATCCAGGTGCTGCCCACGCTTCTCGGCAGGCGACCACACTTAACTAAGGAAAACAGACCTCTGAATTAAATAGATGCAGCAGCTTTCCAGAATTATTTTGTGACCTCTGTCTGTATTTTCAGTTCAAGCAAGTTTGCAGCCGTTGGATTTCACAGAGCTTTGACTGACGAATTGGAAGCCTTAGGAAGAACTGGAGTCAAAACATCATGTCTCTGCCCTAATTTCATCAACACTGGCTTCATCAAAAACCCAAGTACTGGGTAAGCTGAGACAAAAATGGCAATAAAAAGATTGGTGATTGCATGAATATGAGCCATTCTGTGGGTTTTCGTAAGTATTTTAAGCCTTAAAACGCCTGATATTCAATGCCCTTACCTAATTTCAGTTCCAGCTTCTGGAGATTGTGGGAAAACAGGTGTAGAGACAAAGCAAGGGAGAGAATGTATATAAATGTTCATCTGAATGACACAGGTGAACCTGCTAATCTTCCTTATTTTTCCTTTCCCTAAGCAGTGGTTCTTAGACAAGTAAACATACGTTTCACTGGGAGTGCTTGGGAACCATGTAGGGGACCCACCTGTAGAGATGTTGATTTTTATTAGGTTTGGTTGGGATAGGGTAGTCAGTAGTTGGGATGGGGAGTTGGAACTGTGTATGTTTAACAAACATCATAGGTAATTCTGATGGAGATAAATCAGGACCACAATGTGAGAAACACTTTCCATTGGTAATCTAGAGATTATCTTCCAAATTGAGTACCAGACCATGGTCTTCCCTTGGCTAAAAAATAAAATTGTAAGGATCTTCTCTGAGGTTAATTTTAATGTTTCTTCTCTTTGGGAATAGCTTTAATTGCCTTTGTAAACATGATATATACTTTTTAAAAATTCCAACACACGGAAAAGTACAAATAAGGAAAGTTTCTTTTGAAAATTTCTTAAAACCCTCTTAGCATTTTAGAAACTACTCTTAACATTTTGATGAACATCCTTCCAGACATCTCCTTATGTACAGATTAAATGTCTAAATTTTATGTAACTGGCATATATTACACATGGGGTTCTGGAAACAGTAAGTACACTGCTCACATCCCTCAGCAATATGTTTACAAACAATACTGTATTAAAAACTTCAAAGTGTCCCTGGCCGGTGAGGCTCAGTTGGTTGAATGTTGGCCCATGCACCGTGAGGTCGCCGGTTCAGTTCCTGGTCACAGCACGTGCCCAGGTTGTGGGCTCCATCCCCAGTAGGGGGCATGCAGGAGGCAGCTGACTAGTGTATCTCACACATCTGGGTTTCTTTCTCTCTCTCCTCTCACTTCCTCTCTCACTAAAATCAATAAAAACATATTTAGGGAAAAAAACAAAAAAAAAACCCAAAACTTCAAAGCTGGATCTTAACTGTTCTGACCACAAAAAAGAAATGTGTTAACTCACACTATGGTGGCAGTCATACTACAATATATAAGTGTATCAAATCGACATGTAGTGCACCTTAAACTTACACCGTGTGATGTGTCAATTATGTCTCAATAAAAATTCATTCATTCATTCATTCATTAAAAGAGCTCACTAAAACTGAAAGGGTTATCAGAGGAAGAGGTGTCATGCCCAAGGATAGAATTTGCCTATTTCCTCCATTATTTTCAGAATTTAGATACTAAAATAATATATTTGAGTCAAAATTTTTCACTTAGACTTTCAGCAGTTAAAATCAGATGGCATATATTTTTAAAATTATAATTGAATTTTTTACCCTTGCCCCCAGGGCAAGGTTGCACAAAGCTCACCTTCATGTGGGCAGGGGTGTCCTCTCCCGGCAAAGCTCTGCTTGAAAAATAACTGGGAAGCTTGCTGTGGGGGTGGGGAGCACAAACAGAAGCTGACAGGATGCTAGCCTAGTCACAGGAATATGACCTGGCTCAGGAAGGGTCTGGGGCTCGGTCCTGCCCCATGAACCCCTTTGAAGATAAGCTGATACTAGAGTGGGTGCCAAAGGTGAAGTTGGTTTTAATCTAGAAACTTAATTATTCTAATTCGAGGACAGACAGATCTTATGGGTTTATATTTTGGATACTCAATAAAATCTGTAATTTTCTTAAACCTCACGACAGTATTTTGCTTAGAGAGATCAAATAACCTGCCTGTAAGTAGCAGAACTGAGATTCAGGCCAAACTTTGTCCATTTTACACAGAGGGCCACCTTTCTGAAATAAGGAAACTGAACCAGCCTCTAAATGACTGATTCAAAATCATCTGTGTCTTGCTAATATTGGAACTTAAATTCTCTTTTAAAGCACATCAGCGGTGCAGTTTATTCGTTCTTGTATTTACACATCTAACATACTGCGAAGAAACTAGTTTACTATAAAGTTTATAATGCAGCATAATCTGAATTTATTGGAATTAAGTGTAATCAGGTGTTCTGAGTAATTTTTGACTGCTAAGAATTATTTTTGTTAGGTAAACTTGTATATCAAGAAATCATTTTATTGCCCTAGCCGGTTTGACTCAGTGGTTAGAGCATCAGCCCAGGCACTGAGGGGTGTTGGGTTCAATTCCCAGTCAAGGGCACATTCCTGGGTTGCAGGTTTGCTCCCCACCCCTGGTCGGGGCTAGTGTGGGAGGCATCCAGTCAATGTGTCCCTCTCACATCGATGTTTTTCTCTCTCTCTCCCCCTCCCTTCCATTGTCTCTGAAAAGCAATGGAAAAAATATCCCCAGATGAGGATTAACACACCAAAAAAAAAGAGAGAGAAAAGAAATCATTTTATTAAAAGCATTTATTGAAGGACTACTAAATACCAGGTATCCTACTAGGTCTAGATACCTCACATAAGTTACCGTAATCTAGATTTGGCCCCAGGCTATAGTTTGCCTACCCCTGCCCTAATCCTTCTAACAATTCCGCAAGATAAGTATTACTGTGTCATTTTATGGACGAACAGAAACTTGGAGGAGTTAAGAAAATTGCCCAATGTTACACAGCCCCAAAGAGGCCGACTGAAATTCCTCCCTAGGTCCTAGATTCCAAATGCCCTACTATTCCTGGCTTTATTTTTTAACAAAATTGTAATAGAAGTTTTTTTCTGAGAATCATCATTTTAAAAATGTATATTAAATATTTCATTGGAAATAACTTTATTCCTATTCTGATAATGTGTTATGATTATAAATAAATTTTAAATAATGTAGAGAAAAGCTCCTTTAAAGATGTTGTTCTTCCAGAGATAACCACTTTATTAAAAATTAGATTTCCAGTTATAGCTTCCCAATTCTCATTAACGCTTTGCGGTCGTATTAAATTTGGACATGGGTGTCGTACTGGTCAGAATTAAGAGCTTTCAGAGAAATTATGAACTGATACATGAATGGACTTAAGATTCGTACGGTTCCTTGCTGTGGTGGCTGAGAGCAGACATACGACTGGAACAGTAAAAAAGCTTTGGTGGCTGAGAGTAGACAAACGACCGCAAAGGGTTAATGCATTTCTTTTTCTGGTACATGGAAACATACGTGCTATTCTGTAAGCTGCCTTTTTGACTTAACAGTATGCTGTTGTTGCATTATTTAGCCAAGATATGGAAGCAACCCAAGAGCCCATCAATAGCTGAGTGGATAAAAAAGCTGTGGTACACATATGCAATGGACTATTTATTACTCAGCCGTAAAAAAGATTGAAATCTTACCATTTGCAACAGCATGGATGGACCTAGAGGGTATTATGTTAAATGAAATAAGTGAGTCAAAGACAAATACCATATGATTTTATTTACATATGGAATCTAAAGAAGAAAATAAAACTGGGTGAATAAGGTGAAGGGATTAAGAAGTGCAAATTGGCAGTTACAAAATAGTCATGGGATATAAAACACAGCATAGGGAAAATAGTCAATAATAATGTAATAACTCTATGGTATCAGGTGGGTACTGGGAATATCAGGGAGAACACTTTGTAAAGTATATGATAGTCTAACCACTATGTTGTACACCTGAAACTAGTACAATATCATATTGAATGTAAACTGTAATTGAAAAGTAAAAAACAAACAAACCATAAACACACACACAAAAAACAATTTGCTGTTGTCAGTTTTCTGTGTTGATAAAGTGCTCCCTTACCTTACCCTTTTTAATGTTAGCCCAACAATTTGGGTGTACGTCTCCTCTATGGAATCACATTTAGATCTCTAATCTTTTATTGTTGTGATAAATGCATATCCTTGTTTGTGTGTGCATGCATACATCTACATATGTGCGCTGTGTGTTTATATATTCATATGCATGTGCATTTATGTACATATGTGTGTATCTTTGCTCACTTTTCCAACCATTTTGTTATGATTGGTTTTTTGCAACAGTTGCTGGATCAAAGAGTAGGGACTTACTTACTTTTATTTATTAGATTTATTAGATTGCCTTTCAGAAGGATTGTTCTCATCTCTCCTCCCACCAGCAGAGTATTAAGTGCCCATTCCCCTCACCTTTTCCAGCTTTGAATATTAGCACACTTTTAATTTTTGTGAATATGATAGGAAAAAACAGTATTTGTGTTATATTAATACATTTTTTATTATTAGAAAGGATGACAATTATCTTTTCATATTTAATAAGTCCTGCTATCTTCTCTATTCCACTCTGCTTATACAAATCAGACCCCATTATTCAAGTGCTTCTATAGATCAGGTTAAGGAAGTTCTCTTATTTTATTTGTTTGTTGAGTGGGGTTTTGGGGGGTTTTTTCATGAAAGGATTTTGTCAATTGCTTTTTCTGTTCCTACTGAGATAATCATGTGGAGCTTTTCCTTCATTCTATTAACATGGTATATGTTACATTGATTTTTATATAGTGAACCACCTTATATTCCTGGAATAAATCTCACTTGGCCATAACACATAATCCTTTTAATATAATGTTAGACTTGGTTTGCAGTATTTTGTTGAGAATATTTTCATCTATATTTATAAGAGATATCACTAGTTTTCCAGTGATATGTTAGTCTGGCTTTAGTAACAGGGTAATTCTGGCTCATCGAATGAGTTAGGAAGCATTCTTTCCTTTATCTTTCAAAGGCTTTGACAAGGACTAGTGTTATTTCTGTAAACATTCTGGTGTTAATTCTTTAAACATCATGAAGCCATCTGGCCTAGGATTTTCTTTACTGGGAGTTTTTTGATTACTGATTCAATCTCTTGTTAAAGGTCTATTCAGATTTCTTATTTCTTCTTCAATCAGTTTGGTGCTAAAACTTTGTATGTTTCACTAGGTTATCTAATTTTTGTCATATATTTTTTTATAGTGTTTTCTTCTAATTCTTTTCTATTTCTGTAAGGTTGGTAGTAATGTCTTCACTTTCATTCCTGATTTGAATAGTTTGAGTCTTCTCTCTCTTTTTCTAGGTTGTGTAGCTAAAAATTTGTCAATTTTGTTGATCTTTTCAGTGTCAACTTTTGGTTTCATTGATTGTATTGTTATCTATACTCTATTTTATTATTTATTTATTATTTATTTATTTATTTATTTATTTATTTATTTAAAATACATCTTTATTGATTTCAGAGAGAGGAAACGGGAGGGAGAGAGAGAGATAGAAACATCAATGATGAGAGAGTCATTGATCGGCTGTCTCCTGCACGCCTCCAACTGGGGATCGAGCCCGCAACCCGGGCATGTGCCCTGCCTGGGTATTGAACCCTGATCGCCTGGATCCTAGGTTGACGCTCTACTGCTGAGCCGCACCCGGCTGGGCAATACTCTATTTTATTTATCTCTACTTTATTTTTTTATTTTATTTATTTTTTATTTTATGAATATATAATTTTTATTCATTTTTTGCTACAAACTAGTGCTTATTTAAAAATAGTATTTAGTAATTTATACTCAAAGGACATCTTACAGCTAACATCCAAAGAAGACAATCAAAGTATTTTTTGAAGATTTATTATGTGCTTAGTACTGAAGAGCTCCTAAATCTGCCCATTGTTGGCATTAGTAAGATGAGAGAGTTAATTTCTGGCTAATGATTAAAATTTCCAATCATTATAATCAGTAAGATTATAATTTTATATTTAACAAAGGACAGTGGTCAAACAAAAAAAAGTTTATGATCTAAATAAGATTGCAAAAGAAATCAAGCTTCCTGGAGCTTTTATTCTTGGAGCAGGGGCAGGCCCATTTCAGACTCTTGGGTTCAATTCTGAGTTTATGCCAGTTATTCAAACAGAAAGTGAACACAAACCTCCTGTGAATGGAAGTTACTTTGCCTACACTAACCCTGAAGATGGAGGGTGCCTACTAAAGAAATACAGTCATTGAGGTGAAAGCCAAAAGAAGGACTGGAAAACTTAACTTTGTGACTTGTATGAGACAGACTCTGGATAAACATTATGGAGATAAGCCTGTAGGGATGGGAGGTACTTTCATAATTCAGAAAGGAAAAGTGAAGACTCACATTATGCTTAGAGAATTTTCTTCCTGCCCATTGAACTCTGATGAAGAGGTGAATAAGTGGTTGCATTTTTATGAGATGAAGGCTCCTTTGATTTATCTCTACTTTAATCTTATTATTTCCTTCATTTTGTTTGCTTTAGGTTTAGTTTTTTTTTCTAGTTTCTTAATGTGGAAAGTTAGATTACTGATTTGAGATCTTTTTTAATGTAGGAACTTATAATTATAAATTTCCCTCTGAGCACTGCTTTAGCTGCATCTCATAAATTTTGTGTGTTGTGTTTTTTCATTCGTCTCCAAGCATTTTTTAATTTCCTGTGATTTTTTTTCTTTGTCCCACTCATTAATTCCCACATATGTCTGAATTTTTTAGTTTTCTCCTATTATTGATTTCTAATTTTATTCTACTGTGGTCAGAGGACATATTTGGTATGATTTCAGTCTTTTTAAATTTAACAAGACTTGTTTTGTGGTCTAACATATGATCTGTCCTGGAGAATGTTCCTTGTGCCCTTGAGAAAAATATATGTATTCTGCTGTTGGGTGGATTTTTCTATAGATGTTATTAGGTATAGTGATTTATACTGTTTTTCAAGTCTTCTATTTTCTTGTTATTCTTCTGTCCAGTTGTTCAATCGATCATTAAATATGTGATTAATGTCTCCAACTTTTGTTACACTATGTATCCTTTCAATTCTGTTAATTTTTTCTTTCATGTATTTTAGGACTCTGTTGTTAGATATATGACCAACTTTTAATTAAATGATTTTCCATCAAATAAGTTATCCCTTTCCAGTTAGTAATATAAACAATGCAGCATAATCTGAATTTATTATATTAAGTGTAATTGGATGTTCTGATTAGTTTTTGTTGAACATCCTTTTAAAACGTCTACTCTCCTACATGTAATATACATGACCAAATTCTATTTTCTCTAAAAATTTACTTTTTCAGTATGCCACAGAAAGATACTACTTTTTTTTGGCTACTGCCATAAATAAGATGTTATATAAGAAGGTGGCAAGTAACAATTGTATAATATAATTTATAAAGTGCTTACATGTACATTTCCCCTTTATTGTCACATTACCAGTACAGTACTGAGGCCGGATTATACTCATTCAGTGGTGCCATGTTGGTAGCTCGAAATTTGCTACAGTAATTGTATTTGTTTTGTTTTGTTTTGTTAAGCCTCACCCAAAAATATTTTTTCCATTGATTTTTAGAGAAAGTGGGAGGGAGGGGGAGAAAGAGAGAGAAACATTGATATGAGATAAACACATTGATTTGTTGCCTCCCACAAGAGCCCCAACCAGGGCCAGGGATCGAACCTGCAACCCAGGTACGTGCCCTTGACCAAGAATTGAATCCACAACCCTTCAGTGCGAGGGCAGATGCTCTAACCACTGAGCCATACTGGCCAGGGCTCACAGTAGTAGTATTTATTCTACTGGACATATTTCTGTGTTGTAATTCCTCTGACATTTTAGAAACTGTTCACTAAAATGTCTTAGTATGTAATAATACTTGTATAATGGTATCTGATTTCTTTCCCAAAGCTTCTAAATATTTAAAAGTGAATTTATCAGTGTTAACCTAGCTAAATTATTTTTAAGTCTTGGTTACTTTTATACTTCTCTCTTTTTTTGGAATTTATTGTTGAAAGTATTACAGATATCCCCCATTGTCCGCCATTGACCTCCTCCAACCCAACTCCCCCCCCCGGCCTACTGCACTATTGTCTGTGTTCATGGGTTATGCATATATGCATATAAGACTTTTATACTTTTCATTTGCATAATAGGGACACTAGTCTGTCCTTCACAGGGTTGTTGTGAAACTTCAAAGAGGTACCCTGTGGGGAATGTTGAGCTCAGTGGGCAGTACATGCTAAGCACTACATAAATGGTTATAAATGGTTTTTGTTATTATTTGTGCTAATGCAGCTACCATTTTTGAGCACCTATAATGGGCTAGATGCCACAAGTCAGTTATGTTACGGTTCCTGTGGTAATGGAACTGATTTGTTTGGCACTGAACTAAAGCTGAAGCCTCAGTGAAATGATTTGTTTCTGGAATCTGCTTCTGATTTCAGCTTGGGACCCACCCTGGAGCCTGAGGAAGTGGTAAGCAAGCTGATGAAGGGGATCCTGACTGAGCAGAAAATGATTTTTGTTCCATCTTCCATAAGCTTTTTTACAGTGGTGGAAAGGTAAGCAACAGTTTTGTTTGCCTGTGTTACAAATATTCATCCTACACATTTTTACTCAGATTTAAAACCAAATCTCTGTAAAGTGCAATGAAATGGAATAAAGTTAACAAAAATAATGGGTTTAAAGAATCCATCAATTTTTAAACTACATTTGTTAGTGATTGAAGCAAGATTGGTTTAGCAATTGGGTAAATGAACTGAATAATTTCACAAGTTTTTAAGTTTTTTTTTTAAAGAAAAATGTATATTTTTGGAAGTCTTGTCTTATAAATGAATAAATATGAAGGACAGTTTTTAAACATTAGTACATAATGGAATCATAGGACAATGATATTGGAGGAGACCATAGTTAAGTTTTATGTGTTCATTTAAATATACAACATATAATCATTGAGCTCTCGTTTTGTGCAAAATCATACTGAAGCATAGGGATTGCTAAATAATTTGAGAGATCTTTGAGCCATGCTACTTCAAATGTGGTCCATGGGCCAGAATCTCCTGATCTCCTGAATCAGAATTTGCATTTTAATAAGATCCACAGGTGATTTGTATGCATATTTAAATTTAGAAGCATTTCTTTAGAGCAATAGCTCTCAACTTTGCACATTGGAATTCACCTGGGAGTTCTAAAAATGCTAGTGTCTGAGACCTCCTCCCCAAGATTCTGACCTAATTGATCTGGAGTGTGGCCTGGTCTCTGAGAGATACAGCAACTTTCCGGTGATTCTAGTGTACAGCCAGGATTGGAAACCACTGCTTTAAAGAATGCCTCATTATAACACGTTGTCTCGTCACTCATCTGGTAATAAGGGGAAACTGAAGAGATGCGTTTGGCTGAAAAAAAAGGCCTCTTCCTGTCCCTTGAGTCAGGCTTCTCCAACATGGTAGGGTATCAGGATGACTGGCTTTCACCTCTTGAGATATTAATATAGAATGTTTGAGTTGGGACCCAGAAATCTGTATTTTAATAGGTAATTGCCACAAGCAGTTGGTTCGAAGATCAAACTTTGAGAGCTACTCACCTAAAGACTGAAAAAAAAATTTAAGAGATGAAAAATATTAGGGTGTGTGTCAGGTGTTTTAGTCCCTTCTGCTAGGGACTATGGTCGAACACACTTTAGAGGTTTAGGTAATAAAGCCCAAGTGTCTCCTTGGTGGATACATGAGTTAAAACCTTTGAGATATTAACATGTGACTTGTCACATCACCAAGGTAGGCACTCAGTGATTATAGTCCTTTAGAAAATAACTCTATGAGGGAAGAAATTTTGCCTGTTTTCATCACCATAGAGTGTCCCAAAAAATGTATACACACACTTTGAATAATTTATAAAGGCAGTGTTTATTAAAATACATTTTATTTTCAAAATTGAGCTATCAGCTGTTAAAGTGTGTATATATTTTTTGGGGCCCCCTGTATATCCTCTGCACTTTGAAGTGTTGATAGACACATTCAAGGCATCAAAATATTTGCTGATTGAATAAGTGAATTCTGTTCCCTGGACCTTTAGCATAGAGACTCAAGGTTTGTGCTCTGGAGTTAGGTGAAGCTGTGTTTGTGTGACTGGCTTGCAAACATGAACATGGATGAGTTATTTAACTTCTTTGAAACTCAGTTTCTTCATCTGTCTCAAGGAGACAATAATAAGACTATAGTGCTATGAGGAATAAATAAAATAACGCATTTAAAGTATTAGTACCCTATAAATACTCAATAAATTTTATATACCAGTATTATTTTTATAACTACCACTATTACTATCAATGCCCTGATTTTCCTCTGACTATGAATGTTCAGTGCTCAATTTCCAAACTTTATTTTAATGCCATTTAGGCAGATGTCTGTATATAGTTACACTGACTTACATATTCTTTTTAGTTTCTCTCAGACTCATTAGAACATGACAAGTTCCTCAATATTCTTAAGTATAGAGCGGGAGGATGTCTATCACTGTTTAAGGCATTTTATATTAACATATTGATCCTTCAAACAACACTTGGGATAGGTGTTAATATTTTCATTTACATGTGAGGACTTTAAACTTATAAGTTAAATAACTTGCCCAGCCGGCGTGGCCCAGCGGTTGAGCATGGACCCATCAACCTGGAGATCCCGGGTCGATTCCCGGTCAGGGCACATGCCCGGGTTGCGGGCTCGATCGCCAGTCGGGGGCATGCGGGAGGCAGCCGATCAATGACTCTCATCATTGATGTTTCTGTCTCTCTCCCTCTCCCTTCCTCTCTCTGAAATCAATAAAAACATATATTTTTTTAAAAAGTAAATAACTTATTCAGCATTATGCTCAAAACAAAGTGTATTATCTGCATTATCATTGAGCAATTCTGCTTCCCCAGTCTCTTAGTGGAACATTTTATTAATATACAGGATTATAAAGCATAAAGTTAGCTCCTATTCTCATTTCCTTTCCGATGTCATTTTTTAAAGCCTTGGAATCTCAATTATTTAGTTCTATAGACTTCCTCTCATAGATCTTTTGAAAAACAGAGTATATTTCTTTTTAAAACTAAATATTTCAAGTGACTTTAACCCTAAAGAATTAAATCTTCCTTTTCCTTTTGAAAAGGCAATGGATTTAATTGGAAAGAACATATAATAGTGACTGTGTGTTAAAATTCTCAATCTTGTTTAAAATGAACATGAAATGATACATGATAAATATAAGTATTTTAAGAGAAGATATCTTAAAAATGCACGTAATATTAATTTCCTAATTATGTTCCTGTCTTTCTTTTAGGATGCTTCCTGACCGTTTCCTGACTCTTTTAAAACGGAAGATCAATGTTAGGTTTGATGCAGTTATTGGATATAAAAGCAAAGGACAATAAGTACTTGGTTTTTTTGAAAATTGATTTACCAGGTTTAAGTTGATTTCATCCAATATTAATCAGAAGTTTAATGTTTGGACTTCTGCTTTTCTTAATTATCTTTTTTTTCCCTTCAGTATCACCTTTTGAGGCTCTGGCAGTCCTCTGCATTTATTACCATTGTTCTTTAGCTGAAAGCTAATTTCGTATAATACAAAGAGAAATACCTTAGCAATTGCCTTATGGAAAATGGAGAAAAAGAACAAAAACAGTTTAACAATAATTTCTAAGATTTCATGGCTCATCGGAAAGCTTTGCATAATTTGTACTATAAATGTTTAAGATATATTTTTATTTTTAATTACACTTAAATTTTATATAATGCACGTTTCCTTTTTCTATTGTACATAAAATAGAAACTTCAGGCTCTCTAAATATAATGAAGGACTGTATCTGGTAGCATTTCACAGTGAATTTCAAGTGATGTCAGAAATGTTCAAACATTTCATCCTACACATTACCATTGTTTCCTGGGAAATACCTCACATTTCAGTGCCAAACATTTCAGCACAAGGAAACTGGAGTTAGACACATGTTGCAAATAAAAAAACATCATCAAGATTTAAGGCAGAAAATTGGGAGAATGTACCTATAAGTGGCAACAATAATAAGTGGATGAAACTTACACTTGTGGTGTTTCCATCTTTTTTGTTTTGAACAGAACATGGCTTAACCTTCAAATGAAAGGAAAATGGATTATGTACTCAAACTTTTTTTTTAGTATATGGAAATTCCTCAGATGTGAGTGAGGCTCAGTGAGATAATAATGTAAGTTCAGACCAATAAATTGAAAAGATAAGTAGGTTTGTTGGATTTCTATTAAAGAAAAATATTTTCAAGACTGTGTTAGACACACGAAGTAAAGAACATACATATGAAGTAAAGAACTTTGCTCCTTATATCAGAAAGTTCATACTCAGAAAGCATAAATCAGAGTCACTCACCCCTGTGAAATGTAGCAAATGAATCACATTTGGGTTTAGACACTTCATTGTAAAAGATTTCGATCCATCTTATAAGCAGGAATTAATATTTATTCACCACGTGTCAAGTGCTATCCTAAACACTGACTTATTGAACAGTCGAGTAATCTCATCAATGCCACTGCAGATTCTAAGGATTGTATGACAATCCGTTTAAGGAAGGTTATACTATAGATTCTATACCATGTAAGAAAATTTCAGAAGGTATCATTCCTACAATAAATTTCCTCTTTCCCATCAGCTACCCTCCTGTGATACAGAAAATCAAAGTGCAATTACTGTTGAACTATGTTCAACATTTAGTTGATGTAAAGGCACATCTCAGTAAAAACGCCTGCTTTCCAAATTATCGTATTTGAATACCGTGACTTCGATTCCCGTCCATGCGTGGGCCATGTAGCAGCGCTCTACCAGAGAATCTACGAGAATGACACTGCGAGTCTGTACAGTCAGCTTCTAACTTGTTTTGAAATAGATGTAATTGATGATTATTTTCGTTAAGTTATACCTGTTCCAGCTTGCCCAATGGAACCGTGAGGAGAAAGGCTAGGAGAAAGCCGACAGTGAAACTTCAGTAAGATAAACTGAAGTTCAAAGTGTATTGATAACTTTCCTCTTATCATAGTAAACATGTTTTGGCTCTTAACACACTTGTCTGAAATAAACACTTGGATGAACTTTGGCCTTAACCATTATGGTGAAGTATTACTTCTTCGATATTAGGCTGACGGAATGGTAATGGGTTCTTTTTATTGAATGTTAACCACATTCTAGCCACAGTTTGCCATTTAACCCCCAGCGATGCTGTGCAGAGGGCATTGTTGAAGGACTGGAAATAGCTGTGGACACAGCAGGAGTGAGCAGGGACCCAGAGGAACCTTAGAGGCTGGAGCCCCACTGCTGGAAGGTCGATGATGGGATAAACACTGGAGGGGTTCTCAAGTTAGTTCTTTGCATTTTTAAAAAAAGTTTGCTATGATTCACCAACATCAGGCAATTGCTGCTGTGACTCTAAGTTTGAAAACTTTTGCCATTGGAATGAAGTTAATCTTATCTCTGAACCCACTTCTTAACAGCCAACAATAGGGCTACTTCTGAAGGTCACACCAAAGTCAGAGGCTTACATTGTCTTGAGGGAAATGGGAAAGACTCCTCATGTCAACTATATGGTGCTCTGTGGTCCTAAACTAAGATTTTAGTGGCAGATGGCTCTCTCTTTTGCTGGGTACAGAAATCCTGACTGTGGCCAGGAACCCAACCTCCAGTGACAAACTATAAAGCCTTTCTCTGAGCCTTCCCTGTCCCCCTGGAGACCTGCCATGGGACTGCTGGGACTCACTGACCTCTTCTCTTCCCTTTGAGAATATTTCCATGCTCACCTTCAGAAACAGTCTTCCCTGCCCCACCGCCACGCCACCATTCTCACTTGCCAGAAATCTACTCTTTTTAGTGGGAACAAGGATTAGAATGAGTGGGGAATCAGGCCAAGGGAAAAAATTAAAACTGACCTTCCATACATCCTCAACACCAACTTGGCTAGAGAGTAAATGGCTAATAATTTTACTGTGGGGAAGGGGAGCAGTATTAGCCTCCTTTCGCAGGCTGGCTAATAGTTCCCTCTGTGTGACATCTTTCCCATTTCATAGATGAGGTAACTACAGCCCAAAGAGGTTCAACAAACTAACCTAAAATCACACAGCTACTGGGAGGTCAAGCTGAGGACTGGAACCCACGTTTGCTGACCTCACTATCATACAGCCTCAGTGAAATTCTTGGAGAATCGAACCATCATCCTGAACACCTTTCTACTTCCTTTTACCCCAGCTTTCCTTGGTATTCAAACAATATCCAAAATCGGCCAATGAAAATCTCTGATGGCAATTAAAGCTATTTCATCTAGGAATTATTTTAAGGTGAAATAAAATGCTACAACGCAGGTGCTCACTATTCCACTTGAAAAAGGTCCAATCTGCCCTGGCCCAATATCATCACTGTTTAATTTCCTGATATTAAAATGCTGAGTCAGAAAATATTGGGATAGTCTTTAGTTTTAGTCTACACTGGACATCACATCCTTCCCCCAAATAAGAATTCCCACTTGACCTTAGAGTCAGTCTGACTGCTCAAGTTTTTGTTGTTGATTTTTCCTTTTTGCCTAGGGATGACTAGGGTCAACCTCAGAATTAGGGAGATGTGTCTTATTTTTAGTATGGAAGGATGTATGGAAGGACAGTTTTAATTTTTTCCCTTGGCCTGATTCCCCACTTATTCCCCACTCATTTAGCTACTGGCACCCCAGTATTGCAAAAAGACCATTGGCAGTCTAATTCAAGGTAGCTGTTCTGGAACCTGTTTCCTCACCTATAAAAGGATCTATGTAATCTCCTGGATTATCTCCAGTTCCAGTTAAATGTCTATAGTCAAAACATGCAAAACCAAACATCTCTCCCTCCCATCTGTGTTCCCAAACAGAGAATGACACTTCTAACAAAAACATGGGATTATGCCTGCCCCCTTGCTTCTGACCCTCATCTCTCATTTCGCCCAAATCTTCTAATCCCCACCACACACACATTCCACATCAGTCACTATCCCCACATATTTCCAGCCTGAATCTCTCTTCTGAACATCAGATACATATCCAAGTGCCTTCTTTATATGTCTGCCTGTATGGCCGACAGGCATTTCAAGGTAATACTGCCAAAATTAAGCTTTTGATGTTATCCCCAAACTGCTCCAAACCCTGTTATTCCAGTTGCTCAGGCCAAAAAATAAAAATAAAAATAGTGTCATCTTTGATCCCTCTCTCTCCTATCGATGATAAAAACAATTCTGTTTGCCCTCCCTTGAAAATACTACAGAATTCTATCACCTTTTATCACCCCCACTGTGATCTGAGCCATCATCACCTCTTGTTCCCCTTGTGCTATTCCCAACATAGCAGCCAGAATGACTTTTTAAAATATGAGATCATGTCATACTTCAGCTCAAAATCCTCCATTGGCTTCTCATCTAAAACTTTGATTTTTAATGTGGACCGTTTCATGAATTTACCTGCCCTTGCACAGGGGCCATGCCAATCTTCTCTGTATCGTTCCAGTTTTAGTAAATGTGTATTCTCCAGCCTACAGCATTTCTCAATCTGGTGACAGCATCCCCTGCTCAGAAACTTTTACTAGCTCGCATTGATGCTAAGATGCTGAGTGAGCCTCTGCTATGTCCTCTGTCTTCTCTTTCTACCCCACACTGTTCTCCAAGACAGAACTTCCTTTTCCTTGGATGTGCCGCCGGCTCTCACTCCCTGGGGCCTGTCCTGTATCTGGAACTCATTCCCTTCACCGTCTGGCAAGCCCCTGCTCACCCTTTAGGTCCTGTGCCTGAGTTGTGACAACCAAAAATGTCTCCAGGCATAGTAAAATGTCCCCTGTGAGGCAAAAGTACCCCTGGTTGTGAACCACTCATTTGGTCTTAATGTCGTTGGTCTAATTAATTTAATCCCCTTGTGACGTGTAAAGTTGATATGTAAAGCCTTTAAATCAGTCTATGGCATACAGTAAGTGCTTCATAAATTTCAACTATTACTAGTATTATTTGATTTATATCACCATTTACTACTATCAAAGCCATTTCATATACATCCTCTCTCGTTTGAGCCTTATAACTACCTTGTGTGAGGGAAGGTTGAACTTGTGATGTGTGGTAAGGTCTGTGTTGGGTCAAAGCTTGCTTTATTTTTATCTCTATTTTCCACATAAGGAAACTGAGACATAGAAAAATAAACAGCATTGGCTAAAGTCATACTGCTTTTTTTTTTATTGTGACAAAATATACATAACATAAAAGTTACTATTTTAATAATTTTAAAATGTACAATTCAGTGTCATTAAGTACGTTCAAACTGTGCAGCCATCACCACCATCCATCTCCAGAAGTTTTTCATCACCCCCAAGTTGAAACTTTGTATTCTCAAACAATAATTCTTCATTCTCCCTACCCACCAAACTCATTCCTGGTAACCACCATTCTGTTTTCGGACTCTGTATTTGACTATTCTAAATACCTTATCTGAGTGGAATCATGCAATACTTTCCTTTTGTGTCTGGCTTATTTCACTTAGCATAATGTTTCCAAGGTTCATCCATGTTGTGGCATGTACCAGAATTGCTCTCCTTCTTAGGGATGAATAATATTGCATTGTATGCATATAGCACATTTTGTTTATTCATTCATCTGTTGATGGGCACTGGGTTGTTTCCACTTTTGGGTATTGGAAGTAACATCACTTTTCAATGGAGAATTCTAGCTCCTGGTCTAATGCTCTTTCCTAAGTTATCACAAGGGAACTGGTTCCATAATATAACCTACAATCTCCCCCCAAATCAAGAGGTTTTCCAGGGAAGTAGGCATCTCATGTAAAATAATCAGCTAACTGAAATATCGATGCTGAGCTTTCATGAATAAATGAATCACGCCTAGCTTGGTTGGCCCTGGGTGGGTATTAGAGCATTGTCCCGATGGCCAAGGTTGCAGGTTTGATCCCAGGTCAGGACACATACAAGAATCAAACAATGAATGCACAAATAAGTGGAACAACAAATTTATGTTTCTCTCTCTTTCAAGTTAATAATATTTTTTTAAACTAAGCTTGGTTGGACCATACTTTAAGTTTCTTTAAGATAATATCTCTGTTCTCTCTTTTTCCTTCATTAAAAAAAAAGTTAAGCCCAGCCAGCGTGGCTCAGCGTCTGAGCATCGATCTATGATCCAGGAGATCAAGATTCGATTCCCGGTCAGGGCACATGCCCAGGTTGCGGGCTCCATCCCAGTCGGGGGCGTGCTGGAGGCAGCCCATCAATGACTCTCTCATCATTGATGTTTCTTTCTCTTTCTCTCCCTCTCTGAAATCAGTAAAGATAATTAATTAATTAATTTAATTTAATTAAATAAATAAAAGGTTTACAGAGGGATACCAAAACACTATTAGCTGAAGTCATATCTCTAAAATTATTTCCAGAGGTGACACTCTATGGTGAAACATGGTACAGAACTACTACTCAGGTAAGCAAGCCCAGAGAGCACTTTCTCTTGTGTGCCCTTGTCCCTGTACCAAGCTTTTACTGGCAACTGGCACCTTTCAAAGCTAGGGGTATATCCAACCTACTGGACACATGGACAAAGCCTGCCTGCAAATCCGGCTCAGCCCTGCCAGTCCCACCAGCACCTGGAGCACCGCCCTTCCCTGGGGCCCTGGGCTAGACAAGGACTGAGGGCGGGAAGAGTACAGAGCAGAGCCATGAACATTGTCATGGATCCTCTGACTGCCATCGCCTACTTCTACTTGGAGTCCTTGGTGAAGATTTTCCTTCCACGGAGGAGAGGATCTGTGGCGGGGGAAATGGTTCTCGTTGCAGGAGCTGGCCATGGGATAGGCAGGCTGACTGCCTATGAACTTACACAACAGAAGGGCAAACGGGTGCTATGGGACAGTCATGAGGTAATGGATTCATTTGGCCATCTTGTGAAGTCACAAAGCAAGGCATATGTTTAAAAAATTATTTGACTTAAGGGTTGTCAAAGCAAAAACCGAACAAAGGAAAAAGAACACCGGACAGAACCCCTTAGTGCCTCCCCTCACATGCAGACAATGCTAAAAGTTTTACTGTTTCTCTTTTTAAAGAAAAAGTTTGCC